CCAATATTGAGAGTAGTGGTGTCAGGAGGGTAAGAGGAAGGTGGGGGGAGAAAGGAGGAACCGATAACAATGACCTACCTACATCCCCCTCCCAAGGGGATGGACAACAGATAAAAGAGTAAAGGGAGACATTGGACAGTGCAAGACATGAAAAAATAATAATTTATAAATTATCAAGGGCTCATGTGGGAGGGAGGAGGAGGAAGGGGAAAAAATGAGGAGCTGAAACCAAGGGCTCAAGTAGTAAGAAAATGTCTTGAAAATGATGATGGCAACAAATGTACAAATGTGCTTGACACAATGGATGTAGGTATGGATTGTGATAAGAGTTGTATGAGCCCCCAATAAAATGATTTAAAAATATATATATATATCAAAATATAATTTTAGATATATTAACTATCGTGCTTCAGGTTTAATGGGTGGTATGACAAACCAGCTGGCTCCCTCCAAAATCTCTCTCTCTCATACTATTTTGCAGGGCCTCATCTACTATGTTTGAATTATCCAGACAGTCCCCTGCAGGGTCTGTCACATATGTTTTCTGAACAGAAAAGAAATGTCTCATATTTAATCAGAAATGAATATAAGTTTAAATTCATCCTTTAAATTTAGCCTTTAAAAGTGTATCTAGGAACAGACGTCACTAGATAGGCATCTGATTAATGTAAACATGACGAAAACCGAGACTTCTGTTTCTCCAAATGTTATTACATAAACAAGTGTAAATTAATTGGTTCGCTATGTTTAATCTCACTTTAAAAGTAAGAATTTCACAGGGGGTGACTGGGCACCCTCCTCCAGACCCTGGTTCCCGCTTACTGAGGGTCCTGGGAGAACCCTCCTGAACCAGGACGCCCTCTGCAGGGAGGGGCTGGCACTCAGCCTACAGCACCATTTCCTGGGCGGACTTTGTGTGTGGGTGTCCTGGGTTTCTTAGTTTACATTTTGAAGCACAAATAAAAGGATTTTATTCACCTGAAAATAAAAAGTAAGAATTTTGCCCTTTCATTTTCTGATGAACGTATATATAGACGATACGTATTGTCTCAGGGCAAGGTCCAAGGGGAAAGTCTGTTTGGATATGTTCTTTGGGGAAAACAGGTGAAGCTCCCCATCTTCCAGGCCTGAGTGAAGACACAGTAGTGTGACGGAGCTGCCACTAGATGGCGAACCTACCTCATGAGGCTTGTACCCTGGGCTTCATTTGGCTTCTAATAAAGACAAGGAAATAGCAATTTCTCTTATAATAGCCCTTTCTTGTTAAAATTAAATACATTGTTTTCATAAATAAGTGTTAAGCGTGTTGTGAATTAATTACTAAAATATATTAAAGGGAAAATAAATTAATCAAGGTCTTTTTTTAGTTAGGGAGCTACGTATTAATACCAATGAGAAAATAACCTGACTCATTGCTACTCTGTGGGCCAGAGTAGACCCTTTGTGTTGACTAAGCTGAATCTTCCCGGGAGCAGCTGGTGGGTTCGAACGGCTGACCTCGTAGTTAGCAGCCCAACGAAATCCGTTAAACCATGACAGATCCTTATTGCAAAAAATAGTCCACAACAGCATAGATATTTGGACTATAGTTGTTATTAGGTGCCATTCGGTCAATCAGGAATCATACAGGCCCAAACACGACCAGCTCATGCTCCATCCTCACAATGGTCATGTGTGAGTCGATTGTGGCAGCCACTGTGGCCGTCTTCTTAATAAGAATCTTCCTCTCTGTTGCTGCCCCCTCTCCATGGTCCTTTTCCAGGTAATGGAAAAGGTTATCTCCTGATAACATGTCCAAGGCACGTACGATACAGCCTTCCTGATTCTATCAAGTATTCTGGCTGTACTTTTCCAACGCAAGATTGGTTTGTTCCTTTGGCAATGCATGGCGCTTGCACGATTCTTTGGCAGAAATATCATTCTAATGCACTGGTTCTTAAGTGTTGTGTCCTTCCTAGGTCAACTTTCCTGTGCATACACGGCTATGGAAAACACCATGACTTGGGTCAGGCGCATCTTAGTCCTCAAAATGAC